AAAAAAAAAAAAAAAAAAATCTGCCTTTGGAAAATGCGCCTACATGCGGAGTAAATGGTAGTATTGCGGGACGTGGAACTTCGTTAGCCTTCGGAGTAACATCATATGCGTTAATAACATTGGTAGGACTCTGGTTTGGTGTTCGTTGCTGCATATTATTGGCCGGTATTGGCTTTAATGATCGTCCAAATGAGCTGCCCTTCCCTTTCTGCGACATTTGCCACCGAGTGTAAAAACAACCCAGCAGAAATCCTACCACGCAGAAAAAAATCCCAACGGCCAGCAGCAGCGTGACCATCTTGCCACCTTCGCCAGCAGTGGATGATGTAGATTCTGAGATTATAAAAAAGTTTAAAATATTTGTTTTTCGACCTATTTTTAGTTGCTAAAACTCACCTGATGTCACTGTAGCAGGCACTGTTGCAAGATTACTTGGTGGACAACTTTCAATAACAGTTTCTTTCTTCTCACATGAACAGCTGTTGAACGAATTCGAGAGTTTAGGAACTACTCCTAAATAAACTTTTTATGCTTCTACTAGATAGATTCTTAGATGTCTCTGTCTGGATGATCTTTGCAACAAAACAGACAAATTTGTAATATCAGTTCCAGCAAGTTTGTTGAAGAAACCTTTTAGCGTTTTTGATGGAAAAATTTTAATAATCATTTAGACTGTTAGCCAGTAGAAAGAAACTACAAAGAAAAGAAGAATGATGAAAAAGTCTACCTTTTCCAGAAATAACACTTTCGCTAGATTGCAGCTGATACGTTGCAGGAATTCCACAAATTTCGCTTCCTCGACCTTCAGCGATGTCCTGTTTGAGACTTTTGAGATATGACGGTTGAAAACTGAAGTTTGAAAACGTAAAATTGTGAAGTAAGAAAAAATAAAACTGGAGTTTTGCCGATAGGCTCCGCTAATAGAGTGGAACTAACTCGCTTATGTCAGTTATCGTAACACATCTGTTATTATCAGTCTCCCAGGCGCACTGTGGATCTCTTGCACGGACACACTCATAACAACTCGTAAACTTAGCACACTGAGTTGACGGTACACGAAGCACTACCTGATCGCTGACAACAATCAAGTGACTTTCTGCTTTTTTTACAGAATCTTCATGAACTTCCCCTTCACTTTTGTATAAAAACATATTGCGAATCGGTTCCTAAAAAAGGCATAAACTGAGCACGTAAAACTAGCATTAAGTCTACTGGAAGACGTATAGAACATACTTCTGGCTAACACGCGTAGTTAATTGAATAACTATACTTTACCGCTCACGTATCTGTGGCAGTTTCCAAAAGACTTTTTTTTGTAGATTAATGGAAGTAATGAATTAAAAGAATTTTACTAGAACTTCTTTCAATTCTGAAATAAGGCAAAAATAAGTACTTACGTTTGTGACATGAAGTGTAAAAATATGATGCGAATAAACAGTATTTTTATGTCCTGGCTTAGCCAAGTTGACTATTTTAAAAATATTTCCCCGATCTGTACCAACGTATATTAAATCGTAATGCCGGCCATCTATCGCTCGAACCTAGAAGGACAAAATAAAATACAACCGTTTTATACTATTCCACTAAAAGCGTATTTGGCTAGCAACATTATATAGAAATGAAGGCCATGATCAACAAGCAGTTTACTTGAGCGTCAACTGAAATCTGCGTGAAATGGTCAGCACCAGAATGTACAGCGAGCGGTGCACCAAAATAGTTTTGCACTGACTCGTCCATCAGCAAATTCGTGCGAGCATAAGCTATAGTCTCTTCAGGAAGCTTCCTCGAATCTGGCACACAAGTACCTAAAAGATCGATCAATACGGCCAACCGAGATTGTTCAATATTACTCATTTGAGACGCTATTTTTTGTAATAAAATTATTTCGTCGGTTTGAAAGAACAGAAATGTCCTGAACACACCTTCGTAAGAGCAGAAAGTCTTTTAAAACTCTAATAATTTGATTTTGGCTAGCAACATTATATAGAAATGAAGGCCATGATCAACAAGCAGTTTACTTATATAACAACAAAAACCCGAGAAATAAGCGGTTACCAGGTCGATATTTTGAAGCAGCATCTTCTCGTAACCAAGTTGGATGCCTGTTGTAATCAACGTGACGAAAAGAAGAATTAGAGAAAATTCGTGTTATATGAGCTAAATCAAAGGCACAAATCGCTGATGTTGATAACCCGGCCAACGGGCTTCCAAAAACTGCATAAACCAATTTTGCCTCTTCCCCATGAGCCAAATAATGTCCTGATACGGGATTAGCAATTGCTTCAATCTGTAATGTGAGACTATTCAGTGTAGAAATCTAAGAGTTACAAACCCTCCCAATTTTTCCCATGCATTCGGTTTATCATCCTACCCTTACGAGCAGAACCGCTAAAGCAGTTTGGCACAAAAACTTTTTTTTTTAAAAAACTTCTATGTGTTACGAATTACTGTCATTCTGTTCCTCTCAGACCTTCTGTGCTGGACAGCAAAGTTTACATAAATTCACTGAGCAAATTTCATTAATGTACTATAAAAGTAAAGGATCTAATTACTCTTACTAATCCAGTAAATATGAAGAAGCCGTTTCTTTCCGCGAGCAACAGCGATATATTGTCCTGTTTATTTAAAATCAAAATTTAAGTTGCGTAAACGAGGTGATTACCTGATCAAAATAGAATGGATAGTCGCCGGGAATTGAGCAGTTCAGACGAGCTTTCAAAAAAGTTGTCCATTCAGCTGAATAGTACCTGGAACCACCAACATCAGACCGGCACAACCTGGCCACACGAGAGTAAACTGATCGTTCACAGCGTTCAGATTCTCCTGCCTGCTCTCGGAACCACATATAAACATACTGAAAATTGTCGCGTCAAGTCCGAAGACTTTTCCGGTTTGTTAGCATGCCAATTGATCAAAAATAGTTTAAACTCTTAAAATACAGCTTTACTAAATCCAACTCTGCTAAACAATGATTAAGGGGACTGCCATCAGTAGTAAGAGAAGGTTTTAAACTGAGAAATGCTGAAATCAAACGTACAACAGAAAAATTAACGTTGCAAATTGAAAAGTATATTTTCCAATAAAAGTTATTCAACAAGAGGATTTAAATAAAGCAGGAACAGAAAAATTTTTAACAGATACTCATCATTACAGTTTATTACGATTAAAGATAATAAAAGTATCAAAATGTAAAGGCAGTCTAATAAATTTGTACGTTTTCTGTTTTGATTAACTATAATGTCTCTAAATCTGTAAATACAGCTCACCTTATCATCCTTAAAAGAACCGACGAACTGTGGCTCGTTTAAAAATTTTGCGTCATTACGACTCGTTCGGATGCCAAGATCATCAATTTTAGTGACATTCCGTCTGTGAATTAGCGGATCGGATCCAGAAAAGTCGCTCACTACAAAAATGAAATCAGTTACTCAAAGTTATTTCCCAATGCTCTACCTTTTCAGCAACACTTAATCACCAGTAGATAATAGGTAGTACCGTATTAAAAAAAATTTATTTTGGCTTTTTCCGCCGCATTTATTAAAAAAAATTTAATTTAAATTTTACTCGGCGTTTTAAAAAATAAAAATGACTGATCCCCAAAAACAAGTCACATAAAATATGTGCTGTTTCAAATATCAGTGTATTTGTGCTACAGAAAGAAATTTTGTTTGCAAATGCAGCTTGTCAAAAAGTAAATTTCTGTATAATAGAATAAACCAAAGTTTAAATATTTCAAAGATCCCTCAACTGGTTTTGAGCAACTGTAGTATATACTTTAGTTTTCAAATAAAAGGCATTCTAATAAAGCGTCTGCCAAGTTTTCTCAACAAAAAGTGAAATGCCAGTTGCTGGCTCTACTTTAGAGCTATCATAAACCTCCCTCAGCAGAAATTTATAGATTGAAAAAGGTAATTAGTTTTTTTTGTATTATGTTGATAGAATAAAAAACCCATTTTAGCAAAAAAATTAATGTACTAAACAGTGGTTTTTTTATAGCTTCCAGGCTAGAAGGGTTTCTCAAAGAGAAATGGTCCTACAATAGTTTTATCACGACACTCTAATACCGCAAACTCAAAAATAAAACATTTGTACTGAGTAAAATCTATGGTAAAAATAATATGATTTAAATCACTACCAATCTACCTTTGTGTTACCGTTCAGGGCATCCCTCAGTAACTTTATTATTTGAAGATACATTCCAAAATCATTTAGTCTTGACAAGGTTTGTCTTTTGCACACAATTGTTGAAGATGCACTGCTCAATCGAGGCATCTGTGATGTTCAAAATGGCTAACTTGTTATACAAAATTAGCAGAGTCAAACGCTTATTCTAATCCAAACACCAAAAAAATTTCCGCAAACAATCTCAAAATTTTCTGTTTGTGTAGATGAAAATATAGATCAAACCTGTGCCGGCATACAGCATATCGCCGTCACGAACGAAAGTTGAATTATGACTAGGATCATAAGGTGACAGCCCCTGGCCTTGAAACTCGTAGTTCTTCGCATATTCGCCATCGTTTTCAAGCTCGTATTGTCGACACTTTGGCTCAAATGAATTGGTACCGCAAACAAGAACCTCCGAAGGTCCGTCTTTTGCTAATACCCGTACATAGTTGTGACACTCGTCCTGCAAAAACTAACTGTTTCTGCAACACTACTGACGACATGTAAAATAGAAACCTGTTAGATCAAAAAAGATCATTGACAATTTCGTCACCTCCCAAGATGTGCAACGTCACTTATGTGCAG